GGATGCGTTGGGTGGGAAGGACCTTCAATCCCATCCAGTCCCATCCAAGGACAATTTCTTCCAGCCCAGGTGTCTCCAGTCCCATCCCCCCTGGCCTGGGACACGCCAGAGCTGCTCTGGGAATTCCATCCCAGCCAGGAATTCCTGCCCAGTGTCCCATCTAAATCCAGCTGGAACCATCACTCCTTGTCCTGTCCCTCCAGGCCTTGGCCCAAGTCCCTCTCAGCTCTCCTGGAGGCACTGGAAGGAGCTCAGAGCTCTTCTTCTCTCCAGGATGGACATTCCCAGCTCTCGCAGCTGGATCCAGGGCAGAGGAGCTCCAGGATCATGGAATGGGTTGAGTGGGAAGGACCATAAATCCCCTCCAGTCCTGACAATTTCTTCCACCCCAGGTGTCTCCAGTCCCATCTCACCTGGCATGGGACACTCCAGAGCTGGAGCAGCCACAGCTGCTCTGGGAATTCCATCCCAGCCCTTCCCACCCTCAAGGCTGAGATGGGTTTGGAGTGTTTTGATGGAATTCCAGGCTCCAACCTGTGCCAGCAGCTCCTGCCCTGGCCCTGGGCCCCACTGAGGTGATCCAGGATCCCTCTTCACTCCCATCAGGAATTCCCACCAGGGATTCCCACTCCCTGCTCAGCCATTCCCAGGCTCCACAGCCTCCTCCCTGTCCCCAGAGGTGATTTCTGGGATGAGGAATGGCTCTCCCATCCCCAATTCCCACTGGTACCTGTGTCTGCCGTGCTGGCTTCCGTCTCCGACGGCTTCTGCTGCTCCTGGGAGGAGAGGAGGTCCTGGATCTGCAGGAGAGGATCCAGGTGGGGCAGAGGATCCCTCAGGGAGGTCCCTCAGGTGTGGGGTGATCCCTGGGCCGTGTCCCAGCCCAATCTCCCCTTTCCCAGGGAAGCCATTCCCTGGGTCCTGTCCCTCCAGGCCTTGGCCCAAGTCCCTCTCAGCTCTCCTGGAGCTCCTGGAGGCACTGGAAGGAGCTCGGAGCTCTCCCTGCAGCTTCTCCTCTCCAGGATGCACATTCCCAGCTCTCCCAGGGCTCCAGAGCTGCTCCAGGATGAGGGAATGGCTTGGGTTGGAAGGACCTCAAGGATCATCCAGTCCTACCCATGGACACTTCTCCCATCCCAATGTCTCCAGCCCCATCCCCCCTGCCCTGGGACACTCAGAGCTGCTCTGGGAATTCCATCCCAGCCAGGAATTCCTGCCCAGTGTCCCATTCCCAATCTCCCCTTTCCCAGGGAAGCTATTCCCTGTGCCCTGTCCCTCCAGACCCTGTTCCAATCCCATTTCCCAGCCCTGTCCCATGGATTTGCCAGGGATGAGACCTGAGGATCGCAGGGAGAAAAGCCTTGGGAGCAGCACAAATCCATCAGGTCATCCCTGGGCCAGAGTCCCCTGCGAATCCCAGGGCAGATCCCCCAGCAGTGCCATGGGAGGGCCAGGATGGAGCAGGAGATTCCCTCCATGGATTTTCCCAACTTTCCCTCTGGATTTACAGCCAATAATCCCTGGGGATGCTCATTCCCCACTGCTGGAAGAGCCAGGGCAGAGCCCCCTCAGGGACTGCTGGAGCCTCTCCAGCATTCCTGACATCCCTAAGAGTGGCACCAAAATCCTGGGAGCACATCCAGAGCCAATGGAGTGATCCCAAACTCATTCCCAGCCAGCTCAGGAGCTCTGGGAGTGAAGGGAAAGCCCCAAAACCCCTCCCAGAATAATCCAGGAGTCACCCTGAGCCAGAGGTTCCTACACTCCTAAGGACACCAGGGAATATTCCTGGAGCAAATCCCTCTCCCAGATTTCCCATGGTGTAACAGTGACCCTGAGGAATTCCTGCCGGGATTGATGACTCTTCCCTGCTCCTCTTCCTCTCCCAGATCCCACTGCTCCCTCGTCCTGCAGGATTAATTGCTGCTCCATGGGTCACCCACATCCCAGGAGAGCTCTGGAGCAGGTGAGGTGTATCCCAAAGGAGCTCAGGGAGGTGTTTTCCTTAGGGAAACTCCAAGGAATCCTCCTGCAGGTGAGGTGTATCCCAAAGGAGCTCCCCAAGGAATCCTCCGGATCAGGGCACGGCGCTGCCTGTGCTCTCCCTGCTCCATCACCTTCCTCTCCCCCATCCCAGGAGCATCCCTGAAATCACAGATCCCTGGAAAAGGCACCAGACTTGCTTTCCCCTGGGATTGCAGAACCTTTCAGGATGTTCCCAGTTCTCCACCGGGAAGAAAAAAACCCATTCCAAAATACCCCTTTGTGCTTGTTGTGGGGGAAAAAATTCCAGGAGTGAGGGGAGAGGAGCTTAGGGAAGAGCTCTCCATGGCTCTCCAGCACGTGGTGGAGTTTCCTTGGGAAAACATGAGGATGTTTGGAAGGGAAGAGAAGGTTTATGGGAATCTCAGGCAGCTCCAGGATTCCAGGGCCATTCCCAGGTGGAGCAGAGCTGGAATCTCAGCTCATTAACACGGTGTGAGCTGCTAATTGAGTGAGAACTGATAATTCCCACTTGGAATCTCCCCAGGCCACACAGGGCTGGGAGCTGTTCCTCAATCCTCCCTCGGGACAGCCTTGGAGCCTGCAGGATCCCTGGGATCCTGGGCAAGCTGTGGAATCACTCACGCTGGCCAAGCTGCTGTCCAGGTCGGGAAGGTTCATGTCCGTAACCGTCATGGAAGGGCTGAAGAGCTGTGAGGAAAACAGGGATCAGAGCAGGGAAGGGGAATCCCAGGGAGGGGCTGGGAATTCCAGGGATGCACCCATGGGAGCAGCATGGAATACCACGAGTGGGAAGGACCCACAACCTCCATCGCCAGCCGGGACATCCCAAAATCCCACCCTGTGCCGGAGGGTTTTCCAGACCCCGCGAGCGTTCGGGCTCCACCCTGGGAAGCCTCTTCCAGGGCCAGATTCCCACTGGGAAGACTCACGTCCAGCAGGGCACTGTCCATGCTGAATCCGTGCGTGGTCAGCATCGTCTGGAGGTTGTCCAGGTTGGAGTCGATGGTGTCCAGGTGGTCGTTGAGTTCATTCCTGCACGGAGGGAACGGGAGAGAAGGGAATCTGGGATGAGGGAGCTGCTCCAGAGGCTGGGGGAACAAGGACATGGATCCCCCAAAGCCAGCAGGGATGGGATCCCCCAAGGAATGGAAAATGGGAATGGTTTGGGTGGGAAGGACCTCAAGGATCATCCCATCCCACCTCCTGCCATGGGCAGGGACAATTCCCACCATCCCAGGAGGCTCCAAGCCCATCCCTCCTGCCCTGGGACACCACACTGCTCTGGGAATTCCATCCCAGCCAGGAATTCCTGCCCAGTGTCCCACCTAAATCCAACTGGGATCATTTCCCCTTGTCCTGTCCCTCCAGGCCTTGGCCCAAGTCCCTCTCAGCTCTCCTGGAGCTCCTGGAGGCACTGGAAGGAGCTCGGAGCTCTCCCTGCAGCTTCTCCTCTCCAGGATGCACATTCCCA